TAGAACAGCTTAAATCGGATATCAATAATGATTTAGTTAAGGTAAAAGAATGGACTGATGCGAATTGTTTAACTTTTAATGTGTCGAAGACAAATGTGTTAACATTTAAATGTGGTTTTGAGGGAATGTCCTTAGGGGCAGATACTGTTGCCAGTCAAAAATCGAGTAAGTTTTTAGGAGTATACATAGACGATAGACTAAAATTTGAGCCTCACTTAACATACATGAGCAAAAAGGTGTCATCAGGATGTTATGCAATCAGAGTAATATCGAGTAAGCTAGATCTTGGGACAACAAAAAGTGCATACTTTGCTCTCGTTGAATCCCATTTGCGGTATGGAATATGTTTCTGGGGTTTTTGTTCATTGTCTCTCTTTAATATGTTGTTTGTGTTGCAAAAGAGGGCGGTAAGGTATATGTTTAAGATAGGATTACGAGACTCATGTAGACCATTGTTTTTGCGTCATAAATTGCTTACATTTCCCAGTATTTTTTTACTAGAGACTTCATGTCTCGTTCATAAAAAGTTTAAGGAAAACATACACGAATTTTCATCTGTACATACCACTCGACAAACACACAATGTGAACCTTCCTATCCCTTCCTCCACACAAACAAAAAACTCGATAATCTATCAAAGTAAAAAGATCTTTAACCATTTGCCACTGCATCTGAGACAGATAGTATCTGGTAAAAAATTTAGAGTACATCTTAAGAGGCTTCTATTATCAAAGGCCTACTATAGCACAGAAGAATTTTTCCAAGATGCTTTCTTGTGACTGTCTGAATATAATTTGTAGTTTTATTTAATGACTTCTATGTCTGTTGACTTTACGTTTGTGCAATTTTGATATTTTGTATTTTATATTTAGGTTGATTTTTAAAGTGACTTCATCTTTTGTTTTAATGACTGTTTAAATGATTTTATTGTTTTAGTCTGACCTTGTATTGTATTTTTATTTTGATTATTTTAATCTTGGTACTCTATGGCCCTGGAATTATTTTTGTATAATGTTTTTTTTTTCCCCTTTTACAGCTTTGTCAACGAGAATTTTGTTCTTAGACAATAAAGCATTTTTTGACTTTGACTTTGACTTTGAAAATCATTAATTTTATGGTCAAAAATCATAACACTACCTACTTAATCTATCACACTAGTCAATCATATAAATATACAGGCTCCTTACAAAAATAAAAATCCGAAAAAATACAAATCAATATAAATGCACCAAAGATATCGGCAGAAGGCTCTTAAATTTTTCGTACAAAAGAAATGAAAAATAAAATAAAACTTTCAAATATCTTTATTTTCAATGGATACAAATCACAATGACAATTCTCCTATTTCTCCTGACAAAAACTGGTAAGAACAGAATTAAAAGGTATTTACCTGATTAGGTGAATCGATAATATACCTCTGAATCAATTAATAAAAGATACTAAATTTTAATAAAAAATGATAGAGAAAACATAACGTTTCTTCCCCCCTCTAAAGGAGTTCCTTGAGTTAACTCTCTGGGCTCGCTCAGCCTGGAGAATATCTTCGAGGTAATTTCCGAACCCGACCTGATCTTCTTGGCATATCTAATGGTGTACCGGTCAGACGGAGAGAAGGCTCAGTTTGCACTGATGGTGCATCATCCGGCGTGGTCATGGTCTTCGCCAAAACGGTGTTTTGTGCTATTACTGCTAACGGCAAGTCCTCCGAATTTGAAGACTCTGCTCGATCCAGTGTAGAAGTTCTACTGGAAGCCGCTTCCGAAATAGGAAGGTTTGTTCTAGAGATCTGCGTTTGTCTTGGACAGGTAATCTTTTCAAAATAGAATTTATTCGAAGCGGAAGACTCGTTGCTCAGTTGTGGTTTGAGTTCGCTTCTGTAATCTCCTCGAATCTGGTCAAAATGCCTCTCAAAACGTTTTCCGAAATATTCTATTTCATAGTGACGATCACCCTGACGAGAAACAATTGTACCAGGGATCCATTTTTTCATTCTTGGGTTTCCAGAGAGAAAATAAACTGCTTGAGTTGGGTAGAATAAACGAAATGTGGGCTCGAAAGATGATCTTTTGTCTTTCGTTGATTTTTGTATATAAATCTTCAGGCTTGAGTAAATCGAGGCGAGTTCGCAAGATTCGACCAAGGAAAAGCTGCGCTGGAGATTGCCCGGTGGTAGAGTGGGGGATTTCCGGTACTGTCGCAAAAACTCGTTCAAGTTGCGCTGCAAGGTGCCGGGAGTTGTCGCTATAATTTTGAGGTGATCTTTGACGGTTTGAACGATTCTTTCCGCGTGGCCGTTGGTCGATGGGTGATAGGTGCTGTCCGTTTGTGAAACTTAACCCCGATTTGCTGAAGAAACTCTTTAAATTCGGCTGAGGTGAATTGTGTACCATTATCAGAGACGACAGTAATGGGAACTCCATAAGCAGAGAATACTTTGTCGAGAATTGCTACTGTGAATGACGTTGTTGTACTGCTTGTAATTTTGACTTGAGCCATTTGCTGTTAGCGTCAGACATAATGAGCAACATTTTTCCAGCAAAGGGTCCTGCGTATAGTCAATATGGATGCGCTCCCAAGGCCCATGCGGATATTCCCAATGGTGGTCACGAAATTTTGGTGGTGCGTGTGAACATTTGGCACAGTCGTTACAGGATTTGGCAATATGCTCGATATCCGCATCGATTCCAGGTCAGTATACGAAAGAACGCGCAATACCCTTCACTTTTACAATGCCCAAATGAGCTCTATGTAGGTCATTGAGAACTGCTTGACGTAATTTGGGCGTAATGACGATTCGATGCTCGAAAACCGGGCAGTTTGTGACAAGCTTGTACTCAAGTTCGGGTGCCTTGTATCCGGCACGTGCGAGGCTTTGTCCTGATTCTAATAAACGGAAGATTTTCCCCAAATGGGGATCAATTGCTATTTCTCGAGCAACATGTTCTGCGCGAATCGGAAGTTTCTGAATCTATCTTATAATGAAATAGTGGAATTCATCAAATTCTTCCTTCTCTATTCCTACACAGGAGGTACCTTGGCAAATACGGTTAACTGATGTCGGTAATGGTGCACGTGAACAGTAGTCGGCATTGACATTAAGTTTTGTTGGTTTAAACTTGACATCGTAGTTTAAGTGTGCGAGGTAATATAACATAATTTGCCATGCGACTGATGCAGAGCACGGGAAGTGACTTTTCTGGGTGCAAAATTTGTGATACTGGTTTATTATCTGTGTAAAGAGTAAAATGTCTAGCGTATAAATACAGAAAATATTTTTTAATTGCCCACACACGATAGCAAGTGCCTCCTTGTCGATTTGAGGATATCTCTGCTCTGTAGAAGTCATAGTTCGGCTGGCGTAGGCAATTTGTCGTTCTCGCCCGTCTATAAGTCGATGTGACAAAACAGCGCCCAGACCTGTTTTGCTGGCATCTGTTGCTAAGATCAAGGAAAGTGATGGGTCATAAGGCATGAGGACTTGGGGTGAAGTCAACATGTTTTTAATGTCCTCATATGCTTGCTCGGCCTCTGGAGTCCACTCAAAAGATTGTTTCAGAAGCATATTTCGCAAAGGTCGATTTCTTGTAGGTAAGTCTGGAATAAATGAACTTTAGTAAGTGGCCTTACCCAAGAAAAGTTGCAAATCCTCCGGCGAGGCTGGTTTTGGTGCGTCGCGAATTGCTTGGATATGTTTGTCTGATTCATGAATACCGTGCACATCGATTTTATGTCCCAAAAACTCTATCGAAGTTGCTCCAAAGACGCATTTTTCATGATTGAGGCGTAGCCCGGAGGACTTAATTCTATCCATGACCCGGTCTAAGATTTCCAGAAGATTTTCGAAATTCTCTGCATACACAACCACATCTTCGAAGAAATTTCTAACATTTGGAAGGTCACATAGCACCATTTCCATGCGTCGCTGCCAAATTGCAGGAATGTTTGCCGCTCCATAAACTGCTCGTGTGGGTCGAACCAGCCTGTGAGTTGGGGTGTTGAGGGTCAGGGGGTGGGCAGATTCTTCATCAATTGCGAGGTGCGAATAAGCGTCTGTGATGTCAAGATGACAGAAAAATTTTGCATTCTTCATTTGGTTGAAAATATGCTCAGGTTTAGGAATAAGGTATTCATCAATTATCATTTGAGGATTGAGTGTAGGCTTATAGTTTCCTGTTATGCGTATTTTTCCGTTCTTTTTTACCACTACATGTGTCGTAAACGCCCATTTTGAGTAATCGACCTTTTTATAGAAACCTGTTGCAATTTTCGCCTCAATTTCTTTGGCGTACATGTCGCGTAATGCCAGTGGAATCTTTCTTGCTTTTGCGAAGACGGGTGTTGCTCCTGGCTTTAGGTGCAATTCTTCAGGTGGCCCTTTGAGTTTACCAGCTGTCGGGCTAAAGACGTTTTCATATTTCGCTAGTAGAAGATCCAATCGATTTTTTTGATCTTGACTTAAACATGGTGTCCAAGTAGATATCATGTGCACTTGTTCTAGTTCTGGAAAAAGTTTGGCAACATTTATTTCGTGAATGAAATGTGCAATCCATTCCCGACCTAACAGAGCATCAAAGTCTCCTTTGACTACGTAGACATTGAGTTTTGTCGTCTTTTTACCAATCTTCGCATGAACAGGAAGGCGTCCGAGACAGATAATTTTATGACGACTGTAACTGGCAAATTGTCTGTCGGATTTCAGCAATGAGAATTTTGGTTTTATGGATCGCAAGGTTTTTTCGCTAATTATGGCACATGGTGCACCAGTATCGAGCTCTATTTCTATTCTGTATCCATCGATTTGGACTTCAATCATACGACGGGCTGCAGATAAATCGGTACCGCAAATTACATTGATTTTTTTGGAAATAATCGATAAAGTCTATATTTTCGGAATTAATACCTTCGACAGGTTGCTCCGAGTAAGGAATTTCTGAGATAGCTTGTGTCAGTCTTGACTACTCTTGACTTACAGACCCGACCTATGTGACCTTTTTTCTTACAAATTTTACAAATTTTGTCCCACATTTTGTCAAACATTGACTGCGTAAATGGGAACCTCCACATCCATTACAATAGGATTTTCCGTTTTCAATCGCTCCTTGTGTGCTTCGTTGTGGAGCTCGGTCATCCAGCATTGATTTGTGAATGGACGGCTTATGGTCGCGCCTGGTCTGAGGTGCTGTGTAGCCTAACTTGTTCACGGACTCTACCAAAGGAGCAGTAAGTTTCACTTCATTTGTTATGTGATGTGTTGCTTCCAGTTCGTGTACAATTCTGTAAGCTTCTGTAAAGCTTGTAGGATTTTTAGCAATAACTTCATCACACATTTCTCGAGATCGGAGTTCATGTTAGAGTTGCTCGACGAGGATTCTATCTAAAAATCCGCCGTATTCGCAATGAGCCGCACCTTGTCTTAAACGGACAGTAAACTGTGCGACAGTTTCGTTTTTGCCGGAATTTTATACTTAATACTTTCGGCGTATTTTTACTGTGATCAAAATGTTCAATCAGTGTCAATGATTTGCTTTTCCCAGTTTCTGGAAATTCTGTTGTAGATGTGGAGTTTATAAGCTACAGGGTGTAAAGGTTAAGCAGAGTCGCTTTTATTGTATAAGCTTTCATTTAAATGTGTATTATTGCCTCTTTATAGATATTTGCTATTATACACACCCGCAAAATTAGGGGAACGGACAAAATTTACACTAAGTTTAACATACATTTTTTCTTGAAACCTCCGCTCGATTTCGATGAATTTTTCACAGATTGTAGCTTGATTCTTCAGGAATACATCTGACGTATTACCGTTATCCGTTATTAAATTATTCGTCTTTATATCATATAGGTATAGAAAGAAAGTCAGTAATTATCAGAGTTTTTTTAGACACACTGTGGAGTGAACCACTGGAAATTCAGAACCAGAACAGTTTTCAATATCAAATTAAAGCCTGATCTTTTCCGAACATTTTCATTTTTTATTCACTCTGATATTTTCAATATTTTTGAAAATACATTATTAGATACGTCATTGGACATACGAAATGGCCATTTACGACTTTTTTCAACGGTACCGATTTTTTCTAGATCGAAAAATATGTAAAATTTGTGGAAATAATTGTTTCGTACTTTTTTACACATAACTCGCAATATCTCGGAAACTAATCGAGATAATTAAACAATTTTTTTTTAATCGTTGGAGAAACCATGAGCGAACGTAACTGTGCTAATTAGGTTTCCTCGAAATACATAGTTTTTTTCTGCAAATTGGGAGGAAACTCGCACAGTTAATTTTTTGCAGCACTTTTTTCGGTAAGCGAAAAACTTTTTTGTTTTAAGGAATTTTGCCATACTATCTGCGTATGAATTGAAGCTGAGACTCTGAGAAAGTTTTTGTAAAAAAACCGCAGTACGATACGATGCGTACTTTTCAAGTTATCGGTACTTAAAGTTGAAAACTTCTCTGGCCACGCTACCCTTGTCCCTTAACGCGCCGCCCAATATGGTTCCGCGTACGGCCGGCGTGCCCATTTTTTTCATAGAGTATATTTTGTGTTGATTCCTATACGATTATTGGAGTCATGACACAAAACTTAGAAGGTAATGGTTAGGATAAATGAGTTAGGATGACATTATTATTGAAATACATTTCAAATTGTTGAAAAGTTATTATAAGAGTATGGATTGTAAGAAAGAAATTCAACACAATTCAATAGTTTCTCCATTTTGCTGCCAAAAATGTTAAAGTTAGAAATATGGACTTCTTAACTTTTTGAAAATGTACCGACAATATGGATATTTTTTGGAAATTTTCCAAGTCTTTTTTCGAAACTTGTTATACAAGACATACACTTTTTCAACATTATAAAATTAAAGTCTGTTAAAAGCGTATTATCTAATGTAAACTAATTAATCAATTAAAACGATGATAGAGTTTAAAAAAATTATGATGATCAAACAATTCTAAGCTAAACAAGAAATCAATAGGTAGTCATTACTGTCAGATTCGGTCGCTACCTGCTGGAGTCCAAATATGTCTTCTAGCTTCCATTCGCTTTTGCGTCTCCGCAAAAGATTTTTCTGGCAGATGACTGGAACACCAAATTTTCATTTGATATACGGACCTTAAATAACGTAAAAGCCTTGAATACTGAATGCTACGAAAAATTCAGGATGTTCATCTAATATCTCTTAACATGCTGTTTAAATCCATCATCTGTTGGAGAGAGTTCTGCTGCAGGTCGATTTGTCGTTGTTGTGAATTTAACTCTCAATTCATTGAGTGTAGTAATATTTGTATCTTTGTTTTTATAAAAGCATAACATAAAATGTTGACAGAGCTTAATCGCTTCTTCTTCTTCCAAAAATGGGACATTCCATAGTTCTTTCAAAGTAGGTATCGATGTTTTTTACAAAGATTTCGTTATAATATGACGACATGGAAAGAGAACAATATATTATGTTGTTCTTCTTCCAATTTTGTAAATTGCATCGGTGCTGGTGGTAGGTAACACTTCCAATGAGACAATGAATAAATATTGAATTTTTGAAAATTTCTCCTAGATTTGGTACTACAGCCGTGCGGAAAAATCGATTTTCCGCACTGATATGCGTGCGGAAAATGAGTTTTCCCGTGCGGTGCGGTAAAACTTTTACCGCACGCATATCAGTGCGGAAAAAGTTTTTCCGCACGGCTGTCAGTGCGGAAAAAATTTTACCGCACTGATATGTCAAAAAAAAAAGGAAAAATTTTACATTTTTACGCCTGTAGGAAAAATATTGTACCTAACACTTGCGGAAAATATTTTTCCGCACTCGGCTGCTTCACCGAACTCCGCTACACGTCGTTCGGTGAACGGCAACCGCGTGCGGAAAAATTCATTTTCCGCACTTTTTAGGTAAATAGCTATTAAAATGTCCTAGTTTTATAAATATTTGGGAATCCCTCAATTTTTCCGAACTAGTGAAGTAATAGAGAAGTAGAATAGGAACATCAGTTATCTACGGATTTAAGGAGTATTGTGTCGGAATTATCTCGTTCAGCCAAGAGATGCAACATTATTCTAGTATCTGCTTCTTCTTGATTGCTATTTAACATATCCAAACTTTGTGGTACTTTATCTTTTGTTATAGAATATACATGATTTGGGATTTCAAATCCGCCAGCGTAATTTAAAACTGGAATAGTTCAATAGTTACCAGTGAAAATTGAATAGTCCAGGCGAGCGCCGAAACGTAGGAGGCGCGACAAGGGAGGGGAGAAGGGTATAGTGTGGCCAGAGATGTTTTCAACTTTTAAGTACCGATAACTTGAAAAGTACGCATTGTATCGTACTGCGGTTTTTTTTTAAAACTTTCTCAGAGTCCTAGCTTCAATTCATACGCAGATGGTATGGCAAAATTCCTTAAAACAAAAAAGTTTCTCGCTTACCGAAAAAAGTGCTGCACTGCGAGTTTCCTCCCAATATGTAGAAAAACCTATGTATTTTGAGGAAACCGAATTAGGACAGTTACGTTCGCTCATGTTCTCTCCATCGATTAAAAAAAAATGTTTAATTATCTCAATTAGTTTCCGAGATATTGCAAGTTATGTGTAAAAAAGTACGAAACAATTATTTTCACAAATTTTACATATTTTTCGATCTAGAAAAAATCGGTACCGTTAAAAAAAGTCGTAAATGTCCATTTCGTATGTCCAATGACGTGGTGTGTGGATGATATCATAAAGGTTTCATCTGGTTGTACCTGAAAAAAAAAAATTTGAAACATTTTTTACCCGATTTCGCTGCACTAATATGAAATTGTGTCGTTTTCCAACTTCAAGTCGTGTGTGTGTGAATGTTTACTTCAAGTTAAATATTGCTCGAAGTTTCACCTCTTACCGATCAATTTATTGTGAAATGAATGCTCACAAATATACAGGGGGATCAGAAAGTCCCTTTCATGATTTCCATTTGGTGGAATGTCATTTCTCTAAACTAAACTTTCTAAACTCTTCCTTCACACTTAACGAAGGCTTGAATAAAAAATGAAAATGTTCGGAAAAGACCAGGCTACAATTTGGTGTTGAAAACTGTTCTGGATTTCCAGTGGTTGACTCCATAGGGTGTCTCAAAAAACTCTGAAAAGTACTCACTTTCTTTCCATACCTGTATACGATATAAAGACGAATTATTTAATAACGGCAATACGTCAGATGTATTCTCGAAGAATCAAGCTACAATCTGTGAAAAATTCATCGAAATCGAGCGGAGGGTTCAAGAGAAAATTGATGTCAAACCTAGTGTAAATTTTGTCCGTTCCCCTAATTTTGCCGCTGTGTGTATTATTGTATGTACCTTGTGGTGCGTAGAAAAGCTGTTCATAGTGTTCATCAGAACCTGCCAGAAAAAAGTTGATCAGGTATAAAGCGTTTTTTGGAAGTGATCCATCGTAATGATATTCGTGAAAAGTTTTTCCTACAGTTAACTTTAGAATTTCTCCATTTGATAGGAATTTATCGCCATAAAGAAATTAATTTAACAGTACCCTTATAGATTTTTCTCCCAGTTTAGAAGTTCTGGTGGGCATCTGTTGTTCTCAATTTGTTTTAGAGTTGTGTTTTTGTCTTCTGTAGTTGTTGATAGGTCTTTAGGTCCCGCAGTTGTGAGGTTTTTATTTTTTTGTAATCGTTGAGAGGTTTATGACTATATGCCAGATCTAAATCGCTTTTATGATGTCATTTCCATTTGGCACCATAATATGATATCTCCTTTATTGTTCTAGTCGTTCCTTTCAGTCGTTTGCTACTTAACACTTTCGTTATTTCTGATTTTTCTTACAGTTTTATCCAGAGTTTTATTTCGTTTTTTAGTTTTTCCCGATATATTTTGTTATACCTATTTGTTCTTTCTTTTAATAACCTTATTGTGTTATGGCGTTTCTGATTTTATTTTCTATAATATACAGGGTGTCCCACAATCAACGTTACAGGCCATAACTTTCTCATTTTCAAAAATAAAAATTTGAAACAAAAAAAATTATTAATGGCTAATTAAGCGCTCTTCAAAAATATAAAAAAATCATCCCTTGAAAAAATAATCCCCTATTTACAACCCTTGATTTTTTTTTTTCAAATGGCACCCCTACTATTTTTTTTTATTTTTGAGAAGCTTATGAAATTACAAATTTGTATGGTGTATAAAAACTAAAAAGTTTGTTTTTCCATGTCTCTTGGGGGAAAAAAAATGGGTGTCCCACCCTTAGTCTTATACAGGCAAACACATTTTTGTCTACAAAAATAAAAATATGACAAAAAAAAATTAAATGTGTGCAAATTAACCCCTTTTCAAGA